CGCCGCCAAGTGGGGGGCTGTGTTTCGTGCTGCGGGTCCCCCGGTGCCCTGCTCAGGGGCAGGAAGGTCGGGGCGGCTGGGCGTTTTTCGCCTCGTCTGGCCTCTGGTGGCCGGTTCTTCGGGTCCCGAGGCCGTCAAAGAACGAGCCACGACCCGGAACGGGGTCTAGATTGGGTCGGCCACGCACAGAGGGGGGTTCGGGGGAGGGGGGCGGGCGTCTTGGAAGCTCCCGTGCTTCTTGGGAGGCGCGGGGCCTCTGTTTCAGAAGGCGCGGGCCTGAAGAGGGAGGGACCTTGTCTTTTGGAAGCACCCCTGGCTCTTAGCAGCCGCCTTCTAGGAAGCCTTCCCCCTCCCCGATTCGGTTTCGACCTCGCTCTCCTCCCCCTCCCCCTCCTCCTCCTCCTCCTCCTCCTCCTCCTACTCGGCCTCCTCCTCCTCCCCATCCTTTTTCCTCCTCCATCCTCTTCCTCCTCCCCCTCCTTTTCCTTCCTCCCCCTCCTCCCCTCCTCCTCCTCCTCCTCCCTCCTCCTCCTCCTCCTCCTCTCCTCCTCCCTTCCTCCCGCCTCCTTTTTTTTCCCTCTCACTCTCCTCCTCTCCCCGCGCTCCCCCCCGTCCTGCCTCCCTCTCTCCTCCTCCCCGCCCCCTCCTCTTGCGCGCCGCCAAGAGAGGACGGGGTCCAGACTCGGGGGCCCCGCGCGTCGGGCAGGTCTGCGCGGAAGGTGCCCGGGTCGGCAGGCTTCTCTGGGTCCAGGTTTCCAGGGACCCAAACATACCCCAAAAAGGTCAAACAATACTAAAAAAATAGTCCCCAGACTATTTTTGGATTATGGATTGATTATTGTTGGGTTGTTTTTTTCGTCGAGAATCCCCCCGTAGGGGGACAGGCCTGACTTAATCCACGTCGTGAGCACAGTCGCAACGTCGGACATGTGGGAAGCGGGGGGTGCTGGGGGAGGGACATGACATTTGCTGCATGGCAACTCGTTTCGGCCCCACCGCTGAGTGCCTGTTTGGGGGAAGAGTGAGCTGCGTGCAGCGCTTCCCAGGGTTCTTGGAACCAGCTGAAAAACCAGGGGTCTCGACCTTTACAAACCTGTCAACCCCTCTACCTGTCAGGGCCATAGGGCTGCGTCAGTTTTGGGGAGCTCCACTGCGCGCTGACGGCACGATGGCGGTTTTCCTCGGAGGCGAGTAGGTGGCCGGACTGGTCCGGATTCGTGCTTGTAATTCTGGCTCCCATTGTCTCCCATTGTGTTCCGATTGGTATAGTCGTCCGTGTTAGGATTTGCAGTTGTATTATTGTGGGGATCAGTCTCAGTATTTGCATTCGTTTTATGTTGCAGCCGATATGTGTAGTATTTGCATGAGCATTCGTACAAACTCGTATTCGTATCAGCTAAAGTACCAGTTCCAGCACGATGCTCTGTAGTATGGTGGTTAGTATTATTATGAGTAGTAGTAGTAGTGGTACTAGTAGTAGAGTAAAGTAGAGTAGAGTAGAGTAGAGTAAAGTAATAGTAGTCGTAGTAGTAGTAGTAGTAGTAGTAGTAGTAGTAGTAGTAGTAGTAGTAGTTGTACTAGTACTAGTACTAGTACTAGTACTCGTAGTAGTAGTAGTAGTAGTAGTAGTAGGAGTAGTAGTAGTAGTAGTAGTCGTAGTAGTAGTAGTAGTAGTAGTAGTAGTAGCAGTAGTAGTAGTCGTACTAGGAGTAGTAGTAGTAGTAGTAGTAGTAGTATTATTAATAGTAGTAGTAGTAGTAGTAGTAGTAGGTTGAGTAGTAGTAGTAGTAGTAGTAATAATCGTATTAGCTGCAGTAGCAGGAGGTAGTAGTAGTAGTAGTAGTAGTAGTAGTGGAGGTAGTCGTCGTAGTTAGTAGTCGTAGTTGACGTAGTAGCAGCAGTAGTTGTAGTAATCGTAGCAGTAGCTGTAGTAGTAGTTGTAGTAGTAGGAGTGGTGGTATTAGTAGTAGTAGTTGTTGTTGTTTTAGTAGTAGTAGTAGTAGTAGTAGTAGTAGTGGTAGCAGTAGTAGTAGAAGTACTCGTAGTAGTTGTAGTAACACAAGTGGTAGTAGTAGTAGTCGTCGTAGTCGTAGTAGTAGTAGTAGTAGTCGTAGTAGTAGTTGTAGTAGTAGGAGTAGTAGCAGTACTAGTAGTACTAGTAGTAGTAGTAGTAGTAGTAGTAGTAGTAGTAGTAGTAGGAGTAGGAGTAGGAGTAGTAGTAGTAGTGGTCGTAGTACTAGTAGTAACATTGGTCGTAACATTGGTAGTAGCACCCGTAATATCAATGGTTGTATTCGTAGTACTAGTAGTAGCCGTAGATGTAGTAGTCGCCGTAGTAGTAGGAGCAGTATCGTCAGCAGTAGCAGTAGTAGCCGTAATACTGGTACGAGTATTAGTCGTACCTGTACTAGTCGTAGTAGTAGTCGTAGTAGCAGTAGTAGTAGTAGTAGTCGTGGTCGACGTAGTAGTAGTAGTAGCAGTCGTAGTCGTAGTCGTAGTA